CCACAAAACTTGTTGTCAGACGAACCGCCTTGTCGTTGCGCATCCACGTATTGAGGGCCTGCGCAGTGCGTCCATCGATGGTTGCGCTCTCCGTGTCGCACCACTTCAGCTTGTACAACAAGTTGTGTCATAGCAGTCATCTCCGGAAGAAATTGCCACTGTAGCCCTTGCTCCTATTGCTTGGATCCCATCAAGCTTTAGTAACTGGCAGTCATTACGCCCCCTGGCGTGCAGGAGAGCACAAGAGCGAATAAGACCCGGATGTGGAAAGTCATCACTATAATCGAGCTCGCTGGTCGGTGCTGAAGATAAGATCAGATGAAAGGGCTCGTTACAGTTAACTTGGGGATCGCCATCGACGCAGAAAGGAACTTTGGAGTGAGAAGTGCATCCGAAGCACCCGGACCACAGGATCCACTTGGTTGGCAAAGATAATCTATAGACGTGTGTTAACAGAGCGCAATGGTAGTGTCACGCACGTTTTTGCCCTTTTGCCACGAGCAGTCAAACAGTGCTTTACACAGCATCAGTGCGGTTTGTTGCGAGACATAAGCTAAAAAAAAGACTACGTGCGTAAACAACGAGCAAATGAAGTTGTAGAGCTGAAAACATACGACTGTTGATGTCATGTGAAAAATAGAACGAGTTGGTGGCTTACACGATCCAAGAATTGGTTCCCACGAGGCCTCACTTGGCCCCTATGTGTGAGGCGCTGAGGATGCGGTTCATCCACAGGCCGTCGCCCAGGTGATGTACGTTCTCAATACACGGTCCGCTGTTTACCCGCTCGATCTCCTCGGAGGGCATCAACATTTTTCCTATCGCCACGGCGTGCTCCTTGCCCTCCACATACACAGCCACCACCTGACCAGCTGCAATGTCCGGCGAAATGTATCCACCCTTCGAAGTGAGTCCGGGACACATAATATTCGCCCCAGAGACAACGTACTTGCATGCACCGATGTCGACTTGGTGCTTCGGAAGAATGAATGGGTACTTCTGAAGAAGCTTTAGGTGTGGTATGTATGGACCACCGTGGTGGTTGAAGAAGAGGACCTCCGGCTGCGCGCTTACGAGCGTGACACAGTGCACCTGGTCGTGGCATCGCACCAGCATTATATCGGACTTCTTCGGGATGATGTCTTCCCAGTAGTCTGCGAGCAGCGGGTACTGCTCCGCCAGGTCTTTGCGCACCTGCGCTTGCTCCTTGTTGGTGATGTTCGCAATCTGTGCGACGTTTTGCAGTGTGAACTTTTTAAATAGGTCAGCTGACGACATTGTGAGGCGTCCTTTTCTTAGTCTTGAAATAGCACTGTTGTAGCACGGTAATAAATGCGTATATATNNNNAGAGAGAGAGAGCTAGTATGAAAGCAAGACGTGTGCGGCGGACAGCGTCTGCCACATGTGTCAGTCACCATTATGTGGTGAAACTTCAGCACTATAACGGGCTCCCGTGACCCCCTTCCTCATTCTGTTCTTTCTCACTGTCTTCCTTCAGCAGCATCTGCAACTCTCTTTGCGTTTGCTGCAGCATCAACGAAGATGCCCGGAAGAGGCTCGTGTTTGAAGGGGTCTCTGTCTCACTCTGGGTCCCGCTGGTACACTTGTGCTTCGCGAGAAGGCGTGCAACAACAGCCTGTCCACACTGCGAACACTTCAACAAGCGAAGTTCACACTCCTCTTCATGTGCGTCTAGCTCTGTGGTGGGGAGACGCTGACGGCAGTGTTGGCACGTCGCCTCGCTCACATCACCTGATTCATTGGCCGGTACTAATGAAGGTGATGGAAGAGATGCTTGAGGTTGCTGCTGCTGCTGTTGTTGTTGTAGTTGTTGCTGCTGCTGCAGGGTCTCCACTTTCAGCCCATCTATCATCTTGGCCAACTGCGCCTCCATCATTAATTGGGCGTTCGTCTGACATTGTGTGAAGAAGTCCTTGACACCCTGCATCCCTTGTGTCTGTTGCTGTGCCAACGATGACTGGAAACTGTCCACATAGTCTTTTGCTTTTTTGGCCATCGCTTCAGTCCGCTGCAGGATATTTTCAGCCGCATTTTCAAGAGAGCAACGTGCTGCTTCGCATGATGCTGTTATCCGAGCCTGTGCTGCCTCAATCTCCTCATGGAGTGCATTCAGTGCGTCAGTGGGGATTGCTGCCTCGCTCTTTCTCGTGGTATTCTCGTCTGAGAGGGGCAAATGCGACGGAGCTGCTTCTGCCCGCTGTTCACGTAGCACCCGTCGCAGCGCTGTCCATTCAGCGCGACGGTGGCTTCCCCTGCCTGGCCGCGCTGCCTCACCGCTGTAGGATAACGAGGCAGAGGAGGATGTACTAGTGGAGGTGTCGCCACGCCACGATCGGCGTTGACGTGCCCTTCTTTTGTGATGACCCTCGTGCCGACGGCGCAACCCGGATGCCCCATCCTCTTCTTGTGTGACGCTTTTCTTCGATTCAGGTGGAGACAGATGCGGTGCGGGTGGCACGTCCTTTTGATGCCCCTCCTCCTGCCTCTGATTTTTCAGAACAAGGGAAAGTGACTCTTGTAGGCGCTTTCGCTCGAACTGAAGGTCCTTCTCTAGACAGCGAACCGTTGCCTCAGCCTGCGTGAGGCGGTGTTCGAGGCTCCTGCAGGCCATCTGAATAGTGTCACGTTCCTCCTGCAGCTTCAGGGCCTCTCGGCGTGAGGCGTCCAGTTTCGCTTCTAACCCCTCCACGTACTGCGAGTGGACGCGCTGCACCGCAGCGCCGCTTTGCTTCTCAACCAGCTGCTCCTTGAGAATTGACTGCGACCACAGTGTGAACTGCAAGGCGAGTTGCAAAACACTAAGGAGCTGGCACACATCCGCTGACCTTATAGTCGGGAATGTTGCTTTGGAGAGATTACAGTCCGAGACTAGAGAAACCAAGTTCTTCATGAGGTGGAGGTCCGGCTCCCCCACACGATGGGCCGCCACGTCGACGCCGCGCAGGTGCGCCCACGGGATATCGCGCGCGCTGGTGGTGTAGCGGAACGCCCGCAGTCGCTCTGCCACGCTCATTGATTTACACAGTGCGCGAATCTATCCGTATATCTTCTATGTGTATGTGTGTCTATTGCCCACCAGGAGTCAATCGATCGACCTACCCTTCTTCCTCTTCCTCTTCCTCAGCAAGAGGCAGTAAGGAGAGACATACTGAAAGGGTTCCTCCAGCGTACAAAAGAGCAACAAAAAAAAAAAAAAACAGCAGCGGCAACTCATCAAAATACATGGGTTGACTGTAAGCAGCGGCAAATACAAAGCAAGACATATCTGCTACCAACATGAGCATATACGTAGCAGGCCAAAAAGGGGAACAAAGCCAAAACCGTGCCGCCTATGGGTCGCGTTTGCCCGTGAGCGCACTCGCGGCCCCTGAAATGACGTTTGCACCACCCTTCACGGTGTGGCCAACGACTTGAAATCCCTTCCCGACACCTTTTGCCATCAGCTTGCCAGCGCCCTCAATGCCCGCGATGATTTGATTGGCATTGGCTCGCTCCTGCGCCAGCGTCGCCTCCTTTCGGGCGATCCACTGCATGTGGTCATCAGCAATCTGCTTCGGATGCAGTGGAAAGCGCTGCGTCATGGACAACCCGCTGACGGAGCTCTCAATGCGCTTCTGCCAGAGGGGGATTTGCGTCGCACAGATCAGCTCAAACTCCTTCACACACTCGCGCAGCACGACGAAGTCACTCGTAGTGCCATCGCCGTATCCGCTGCGGATCGCGTGCTCCAAGTTTTCTTGCACCGTGATGGCGGCGTGGGCAATCACCGTCCCCAGCACGCTGCGCACTACAGAGACTTGCAGCACCGCCATGAGCTTCGGGATCATGGCGATGACATACTCCATCGCCTCCACGAAGCCCCGCTCTACTGCGTCCTTGCTGCTCGACTTTGGCTGCGGCGCCACCGTGCCCCTGCGCACGTCGAGCAGTCGCTTCCAGTACTCGATATCCGCTGCTGGCTGCAGTCGGTCCTCCGTCTCTGACACGAAAGCAGCGAGGAGCCGCTCAATACCTTTCTGAAGGGCCTTCGCGAAAAGAGATGCAGAGGAAGCGAGCAGCCGCGGCTCACCGAGCTTCTCCCGCTTCCGTCCACCGTAGTCATTGGGCCACCCAAGGACAAACTGCTGCTCAACGCACGACACAATAGCACCCATCGTCGCGCACGATGTCACATACACGGCGAGCTGCATCACCGCTCTTTCCCCAACAGACATCAGGTGGCCCTGTAGCAGCTCCGCCACCGTCCGGAAGAGAACGGAGAGATACTTGAGAAGCATTTCGTCCACGTTGTTTAGCTCAGACTGTCTCACTACTGCGCCGCGGTCCATTACCATGATGGATTGGCAGCGTGAGAGGAAACGCAACGCGATGTCGCCAAACATCGGTACCATTAACGCGTATGGAAGTGAAAGCTGCCCTGAGGTAAAACCGCGTGGCGTCAGCGGCAGTTCCATAAACTTACAGCGATCGAGGTAGAAGCGCGTGACGTACGCGTCATACTCGGCAGCACTGGTGGCGCTGAGAGGGGCAAGTGTGTCGGTCAGCACTGCCTGTGTGGCCTCCATGCAGGCCTCCTGCAGCCACGAACTGATGATACTGTCGCTCATCGCTTCCACAACCAGGGACAGAATGAGTGGACTCAGCCGCACGCTTTGAACGGCATCAACGGCGATGTTAACAAACTGGCGCAGGAGACGAAAGACATCTGTCATTCGTGCGGCGTAGTTGGAATCGTTGACGAGCAACGTCGCCACACGCCGGGCACGATCAGCCACAGCCTGCGAGAGCTGGTCCCACATGCACAGTATCTCCGCCGTCGATTGCACATGTGGCTCCGTGACGTGGTGCACAATGTCCTCAATCAGCATGAAGCCCAGCGCTGTTGCGCAGTACCGCTCCAACTCCGCCACGAGGGCTTCCCCGTTGAGGCCCTCTGTGGTGAACGGAGCCTCAAAAAGATCCAACCTCGCCTGCTGTGTACGGCTCTCGGCGTAGTAATTGCAGTAGTACGTACCGCGGCGGAGCTCCTCGAACACTTCTTGCATAGAAGCCCCGTACAGGATGTTTGAGATGCCAGCCGCCTCTGCGAAGGGCGCGCGTTCGATGTGCGCCCTGGCGCAACTCACCTCTACCCACCAGTCGCCGTCGTCTGTCACCTGCAGCTTCTTCTCGATGCGGCCAGGCTGCACAGCGCCCTCCCACTTAAGAGCAGCAGTACCGACAGGGTGCGAGAGGTCACGTAGTAACTTCAGCCATGCATTGAGGTGCTGCACCGCTGCAGTGAAGATCTCCTGCGACATCTGTGGCACCCGGTGGTGAATGACGTACTCACCGAGTGCGTACTCAGCGAGCGGGGTCGCCAGCCGCAGCAAGTGCTTCAGCGAAACAACAGCCCCCAGAAGCTGCCGCTTGCGCACCCGCGTCTCTGCTGTCTCCAGTTGCTCCGCCACCTCCAAGGCTCCCCGAAGTAGCGAAAGCACCTGCACAACGTTCTCCTTGACGCACCGCGACACATTGAGGTCTGCCGCCGCCCGCTTCATCTCCATCACGGAGGAGCGCGCGAGGGCCGTGGCGCCGCTGAGCTCCTGCCCCACGAGCTCAGCATCCTGTTCCGAAACAAAGAAGCACTGCTGTGCCGCGTGGAGGAACGCCGGGTAGTGGCGCTCACACAACTTTTCTACCTGCCCCTCGTTCTCTCTGATGAACGCCGCAAGATCGTCGAGCAGGACATCCTCCTCTTTTCGTATGTAAGCGTTTTTCAGTGCGCTGTAGTCCGCGAACTCGCCGTCAATAAGTGACGTCACGGCAAGGTACCGCGACGGAGCCTTCTGGAATAGACTGCTCGACTCCCCCTCGCGTTGCCGCGGCAGCAGCAGGCTCTGCGGCTGTTGCTGCTTCTGTTGCCCCCACAGAGGGCTGGTGTCATCATCGCTGGCTTCGCTGTCGGCATCGCCCCAATCGTCGTCCTTCTCTTTCGTCTGATGTGTGCCACCCCCCAGAGAGTACACTTCATCCTTTTCCAACTGCTCCGCACGCAGCTTCGCACTCGTGGCGAGCTCCTGCAGTCGCTGTTCCACATCCGCTATTTTCATCACGGAGGTGCCCTCAAGCTTCACAGACATAAATTCAGATCCCTCTTCTTTTTCTACAGACAGAAGAGCCTGTGACGGCTGCTGCTGCTGCTGCTCTTGTGGCGAGTCGGATGTCCCAATAAAAAGCGTATTCTGAGAGGAGCTCACTTTCAGCAGTTTATTGGGCCATCTGGCGTAGAACGACATGCCTTTGGCCTTGAACAAGTAGACGTGGTAGGGCGTTGACACCAAGACGACCTTCTTTAGTCTGCCATGCCTAAAAATACGCAACGGTTCCGCGGTGTAATAGAGAACGTGCGGACTGTCACCCATGTCGCGCAGAATGCTCTGCACTCTCTCGTCGCGCTCGTAGTCCGGCGCTGGCTCCATCCCCGCTTCTACCTATACACGCGGTGGACCCTTGGAGATGCAATAACGCAGGAGTAGAAACGCAGCATGCCAAGCATGCGCTGTCACAGACACATTCCAGACAACAAAAACCACAAAAGAAAAGGGAGAGAAAGAAAGAAAGAGGAGCTTTCCCTTGGCCAGACACTGAGTGCTTGTTTTTTTTTTTTTACCTTTGCTTGTCAAAATCTTTGTTGGTACACTCTTTCTTTAGTCTTGCTTTCGTGTTATCGGCGCAACGGGTCCTACAATCTCACTGTACAGAAAACAAACCACAAAACAAAACAAAAAACGGTTCGCCGCAACACACACACGCATAGATATACAAAAATATAGTTCTTGTTTTACAAGCCGCTCGTGTTCCCTCCCTTATTCTTCCGCCCCCGCTTTATGAAGGGGAAGTGGCGGGAGAAGTGACACCGCGGCGCGCACGGCCGACTGCACGTGCAGCTGCACTTGGACTTGCGGTGGGTCCCGGGCGGCGGCATGTCGGGCACCGGAAGGTCCGGTCCAGGTGGGAACTCGACAATGTAGTCCTCCACACGTGGTGCAGGGTCGCGCAACTCGGCATGTAGGCTTGGCATTGCTGCCGTTTCTGCTGCTGCCAGAGGCGCGACGGGTGGAGGTGGGGAAGTGGGCTCGACCTCCTGAGTGGGGATGGGAGTAGGCGAGACTGATATGCCTCTGCTGGTGACGGGCGGCGACCAATCCACCGTCGCCTCTGCCACCTGCACGGACCTCGGCGGCGGCATCCAATCGCCGCGCAGGAGGTTGCGGAACTCCGCAGGCTCAAGCACGCGCGAGGTGGGCAAATACCACGCAGCCGTGCGGGGGGTGGTGAGAGGGGGAAACTGCAGCATGTGATCAACAGCACCCTGCCGCAAGGCGTCGTCATACCCGCTTTCCCAAGTAGCACCCGCCCCACCCACTAGTCCCCTTCCTGCTGCTGCTGCTGTTGCTGACGCCGCGCTGCTTTCAGGCGGTGGTGACAGAGGCATCAGGTGCACGCGTATGGGAACAGGTGAGCTGATTATGACGCCCTTCGCGTCGCTGGTAAGCTGCGGCTGTGGTGAAATATACACCTGTTGTTTGGGTGTCCTTGCGTTTTCAGCCGCAATCACCGTCTGCTGGGTGTTTCTCGTCTCGTTTGACGGGGTGCTCGCCCCTGTCTTCTCCAATGGTTTAGCACCCCTTTCTTCATCTGTGCGTGTCTCAGCCAGAGGGGACGGTTTCGAGTCACTGCGCACGCTTCCAGAGAGTGTCGCCTCACCAGAAGCAGGCCCATTCGGACGCGGGGGACACAAACTTGAAACAGATGGCTCAGTCTGCTCTGGCGAATGTACACGCTTTGTCAATGTTTCATCGCGTTCAATAGTGAGGGGCTTGACGGCTATAGCGTCCTCCGTAGTGGGGTCTGTCTGCACCCCCGCATTCGTGTGGGGCACGGGGCGTGGAATGGGTCGTTGTTCCTGTTGCTCCAGCCGAGGCTGTTGTGGTGCAAATAGCACAGTGCCATTGGGCGGCCACGGTGAGTGCAGTGGCTGAACGCGCATGACGGGGGGCAAGGGACGCTGCGTCGATACCTCTGAGCGGTCCCGCGATTGAATAGAGACATCGTGGGAGGTATTCGGGAAGTACGCACCACCAAAATCACCAGAACCGCTGCCGACGTATGCGCTAATGCGGTTCATTCCATCAACTAGCTCTGCAGGTCTGCGAATGACGTAGTCGTCAAGTCTATTTCCGTCCAGTCGACGCGAAGAAGGCCCTGGGGAAGACGCTGAGTTAACGCTTCTCATTTCGTCCTCCTG